TCCCAGTGTCTGCTGATGGTTCTGGCGAGGCCATTCAGCCACCACCGGCTCCACCGCCTGCAACCTCAACATCCACTCCGCCTGCAGCCTCTGCAGCTCCGCCTGGTCCGGCCTCCGAGTGTTCAGCTTCGTCTGCGCCTGAGGTCCCCATGCCATCTGGGCCTGCTCGGCCTGCTCGTCCTGCACGTCCTGTCCGGCCTGCTCGTCCTGGACGTTGTTGCCGTCATGGACGGCCCCCTGAACTACGCCGCCGCCGGTGCCTCCTGCCTGGCCTCCTGAACTCTTTTCTGGGCTCTTGGGTCGTCAGCCTCCGGGCCGCCCCCCTGACCTTTGTGTGAACTGTTTTTCCTGGCCGCCTGCGCCTGTTGTGAGCCTGTGTTTTGTTATGTTGCTTTCCGGGCTCCGGTGTTTGCACTTCTTTTTGGTTCTGGCTCCTTGTTTGGTTTGTTTCGAGCCCTTCATCCTGTTTCCCCCACCGCCCACCCTGGTTGGGTTGTTTTTTGTTTTGGTGTTTCGGTCTGACAACACTGACAACAGTAATATATGAACTCAAAGATGACATCAGTGCAGAAGAACCTTAATAGACTCTGTGCACCTTAGCATGTGCTACTTCTGGTGGGAAAACTCCTGCAGGGCACTTTGTTTCCGGTGTGATATTCTTGTCTTGTTTACGGTCGGGTTTTCCAAAAAAGTCAACCAAATCGACGAATCAAGCAGTGATTTAAATTTCTCAAGATGTCTTGGGCATTTACCGAGTATATCTCTAGATGATGTTCATTGACTTGTCAATATTTTCTCTCGCGCCTCCGAACAAAAGTCAGTATTTGTATACAGCGGTCCCTCGTTTATCGCGGGTGTTATGTTCTAAAAATAATCAGCGATAGGTGAAATCTGCGACGTAGCCAACTTTATTTTTTACAATTATTTTTTACAATTATTTTAGATGTTTAAGGCTGTAAAACCCGTCACTATACACTTTTCTCAGACAGGCATGAACAGTTTCACAGTTTTCTCTCTTGTTTAAACTCTCAAAGTTCAAACCTTCGTTAAAAAAAAAAAATCCATTATAGAATGAAACCAAAGATCAAAACCTGCTTTCAGTCCCAAACATTTATTTGATAAATAAACATACAGTGTAGTTGTTTTGCTATAAATAATAATGACAGCTTTTAGAACTAATGAATTTAACTTTAAGCATAATTGCTTAATTTAAGTTTAATGCACTTTATAATCCGGTGCGCAGTATGGTAAAAAAAACCCAAAATACAGTAACTTCTACCTTCTGTTCAGAAGTCAAACTTTTTGTGCGATGTTTAGCATCTCCCTCTGCCCTTCGGATGCTACTGCAGGTGCCTTTGACGGTGCAAAACATTTCATCGACATTGTTGTGTTTGTTGGGGAGAAAACTTACAAACATACAGTGCAGCACTTCAGAGTCACACTGCAAGTGATCGATATAGCGATTCTGTACTGTACAGAAGAGCACGGCACGGAGATCGACAGTGGTCTGCAGATCAGGACGCAGAACACACTGCGAGTAAAAAATAAATAAATGGTAAATGGCCTGTATTTATATAGCGTTTTACTAGTCCCTAAGGACCCCAAAGCTCTTTACATATCCAGTCATCCACCCATTCACACACACATTCACACACTGGTGATGGCAAGCTACATTGTAGCCACAGCCACCCTGGGG